AATAATACTTTGTCAAAATAAAGACTAGTTAGTATTTTTCTAGTAATCATTGTAGTTCTCACTGTTTTCTTCTCAGTTTTCTTAGGCAGAAAGAGAATTGGCTAATGTAAGCCTTAGATCTTGCAGTCTGTCTAATAGAGATATTGGATGAGCATGGAGAAAATGCATCACAGCATTTTTAACAGCTACTTCAAACTGCAGGAGTGCTGCTTATGTTTGTGTATATTTATGCAATTGTATGGGTGTGCTTAAATAAGGTTTGAAGTTAGTTTGTGTGTGTGTGTGTGCGTGCTTGTGCACACACTTGTGTGCTGTGTTAGAAACAAAAAAGTATATATTTGGAAAGACCTGTTTAGCTTTGTTACTCAGGAATCTCATATTTCCTTTGTTGAAAGGACATAACACCAAAAGGCTCAATAAATGTTCAGCTTCTTTGTTAGTGTTTTGTTACTCTTGTAGCAAACTCTGTCACTATCTAAAGTTTGAGTAGCTTACTCATCTGGCTAAGTTTTGTAAAGAACAAAAAATGCTTATCTCTAAAAAAATTAGTAATGATAATTTTTTGAAACCATCAGCTCAATAAAAACTGCCTTCCACCAACTCCGCATGTCAATCTGGTGCCATATACTTGCGTACTAGTTCTCTGTGCAATTTTCAAACAGATGTGAGGACTCTATACCCAGATACGCTAAATAAAATGAATTATGATACCCACAGGAACATATAAGGTTCACTGTGATCTCCCATGATTTCCCCTTTCCTTAACCCAGGAGATTAGGTGCCATGATCGGCAGTGCTGGGTGTATGACAGAAAGTTAAATGATATTGAAATATTTAGTAATGACAAATAATTAGATATTACCTATTATCATAAAGATTACTCAAAGTTGGAGATTATGCAAGGAAAAGAGAGTATTATCATCTTAATACAAGATAACAAATGACCAACATAGACCAGAAAATGGCAAAAAAGCAAAAGGGAGGTACTATTTGTGTGGGCCAGGTCTGCAAGCCACATAACCAGGAGAGTCGCCACTCAAGTAAGCCTTATGTCCGGATTTCGGGTACCTGACGTCCAAGGTTTTAACCCTCTAGCGCCGGTATGTGTTGAAGCCGAAAATAATATTTTCCAGGCTGCTACAAAATTGGTGCATGGGGCTGGCCCGGAATCGGCCCATGAGGCCCACAACATATTCTGAGTGAGAGCTCCGATCCAACGTCACACTGGCGGGATGCCCGGCAATGTTTATTTTTCTGGGTGTCTCATATATGGGACACCCATCATAAATGGGTGAAGAAAAACTTATGTTTTCCAATGCCGTTAATATTAATGATAATATTATTAATATTGTTTATGATTATTGCAATGTTATCAACAATATTAGTAGTAATATGAAATGAATATAAAAGATATTTCCAGAAATGAAGGAAAAAAGTAAACTGATGAGATAGGTAAAAACTCCATGGTGCCTAAGCACTTGTGAAACAATCTCTACCAAAGCCCAATTGATAGATTAAACTCTCAGTGGGCAAGGCATGGCCTTACATGCCCTACCCAGCAGCTTTAGGTTTTTAAAACAAAACCATAGTGGACAGTGTACATGTACATGTACTCTTGGTGTTAAGAGTTAATATGGAAGAGAAAAATACGACAAAGAGTCCGGGGCAGCCCCGCCTGCCGATTTTGTAGCCACCTGGAATCTTTTATTTTCAGCTTCAAAATATATCGGCATTAATGGATTAAATGGGTTAATTGCATTGCCCAAGGTACAGAAATGCCAGGATGGTGATTTTTTACTTAATTTTCTGACATACCATGTGAATTTATTACGTCTCATGATAACAAATTAACAGATTGAATAGATTGTGAAAAAAAAATATATAAACTCATTTTAGGTAGGTAGGTAGTATGAATGAATAAAGATTGCTAACAGGAGTGATATTTGTGAAGGAAATGTATAGTTGATTTTTTTGGTCAATTGGAGAAGGAGCGAAAATTATAACTATATTTACAAAGGTATATTATTTGTTTGTTATGCATGTTGGTATGTGGAGGTTAAAGGCAGTAGATATGTTAACAGTGTATTAAGAATGGTGCTTTCCTTGTAGATGATATATCACAATAGTAAATTTTATAAATAGCAGAGATCATGAGCTCTCTGGTTTTCTGAATATCTTCAGTATTTTACTGAAAGTTAAAATGTATTGTTTTAAAATCTAGAAAAATTCTCATTCCTTTTTATTTCTTCCTTTCACTTTGTCTTCTTAGAACTGGAAGCAACCCAGACACAACTGCGGTTGGCGTTACACCTTCAGCACTTCCTGCACCATCTCCACCGACATCTGTCCAGACCTCTGCAGATATCCCATCAGAAGCACCTCGACGCGCAAAACAACCTGCTCCCTTAGTCCGTGAGAGGTGAGTGCTTTGAGAAGGCTGATGTATGATGTATGATGACTTTGTCTAATAGTACAAATGAGTATCAAAATTAGGAAAAAG